GAGACTGCTCACAAAATTGCAATATTTGTGGGCAAAACGTCCAACTTGATTGCGAATAGATCTGAGCCAATGGTCGCAACGTTTAAAGCTTACATTATGTAAAAATTATGTGTTTGTTGTAATTCATTCTGTCATTTACTACCATTATGCGCAGGCCAATTCATGAAATCATTTTATGCTTTTGAGTAGAAACTGAGTGCATGAACACCATTTCATGATCTGAATTATGTGTACGCGAAATGGAGTTTATGCACTGAGTTTTACTCAGATCCATGAAATGATTTCGTGAATCGGACTACGCATAAACGTGTTAATTGTGCGTATAATTTATATGGTAATTTTATGTTTTTATACTCTTGCTACCACATGAATATGTGAATTCGTGATAAGAATATATGAATTCAACTTAGAAGATAGAAAGTGCGTAAGAAGAAATGCCGAATAAAAGAATTTGTCTTCTTTCAACTTAAATAAATGCATTTTGCAAACAAAACTGCGTACGCTACATGGGCATGGGCCCCTAACTTTCAAATTTTCCTTATATATATATAAAATAGTACCCTGAAATGCCAGCTTAATGGGGTCGAGCCTTCCCCCTCCCTAAATTTCATTCTGGCTACGCCGATGGTACGTTATTTAGTGCCTTGGTTAAATTGCGCGGGGAGAATCGTTATAAATCGCGGCGAATTTGTAAGGATCTACTGATTGCATTATAATCATTTGCATTTAGTTGTTAAACATACAATAGATAATTATGTGACAGTTCACTCCGTTCAGTTACTTCCATTACAACCTGGTCCTAAGGATGCTAGAAGGGCAAATTCATACAAGGTGGTGTTACCGGAAAATAAATAAATAAATTATATATCACAAAATGAAATGAAATCATTGTTTAATTCTTAACCAAACCAATGTATGTAACTCAATCGCCTAATGGTTTGCCGAGCCGTAAACATATCTTTACACGTAAAATTTCGTGAGTACCTGGTACTCACACCTTTTTTGAGAAGTTTTACTTCTGCTGCGTACGCCTTTTTTTCGTTACTTTTTTTGTTTAAGGTTCTTTAATTTTTTATAAATGTATAGCTCATTGTATAACAAAGACCATATAAATCTATATTTCAAACTGTGCGAAAATTTGAAAAATTCAAGAATGCATAAGATTTTCAAACTTTTATAATCAGAATTTTTAGAGTAACTTTTTATTTTAGTATAATAAAGTGCCAGATTGAAGCTGGCTTTTTTTTTGCTGACAGTGTTACGTATTTTCTTGCATTCGAAGTATGTTCGAAACGTTTTTTATAAAACTTGTAAAACTTACCAATAGCTGATGCTCTGAATTCACAGTCTGAAATAGTAATGTACAATACTCCTGCTGGAGTTGTAAAACTATCGATAATATATATCACTATCATGGGCATAGCCAGGTAGGGGCAGGGGGGGGCTCGAGGCCCCCCCTAACTTTCAAATTTTCCTTATATATATATAAAATAGTACCCTGAAATGCCAGCTTAATAGGGTCGAGCCCCCTATCCGCTTGACGTTTCGTGTCGATATAAAACTGTAGGGCCCTTTAATTCTACATTAACATCAATGCACACGCCACAAACTGGATAAGTTCTTAACAAAAATACGCGCACAAACTATGTGCATACACATGATTCAATAATAGAAAGGTTTTGTAATAAAACAGTCTTCTCGCTTCCACACATAAAATCGGCTCCTTTACTTGTGCAGAATGTTGCTTACTCTACAGTTTCTAGTGATATTAGTAGTAAAAATTCTTCATACTAAATATTCGTTAGCTTCACCTTCGTTTGCGTACAATGGTAGAATAGCGACCGTTTAGCTATAAAATAACAAAAATGCCGATTGATAGAACTTTTTACGCTGATTTCAACGTTACCAAATTTATTTGGCCCAGGTAAAAAATACAGAAGATATAAGAGGTATATTTGCTTTGTTTATATTTTTTTTTTTTTTTATCACTAAATTGTTGAAACCCAAAAGTAGCTCATGACAAAATATGTAATATTGAATTAAAGGTAATAATTGTACTTTCTAAATAACATAAATTTCTTTACCATTAATTATGCAGTTTTTTGAAAAAAGGCTATTTCGTGAAAAAATAACATTTGTTAGTTTTTTAGTGGTTTTGGTTTAAAAATACAAAAAGCTATAAATAATGTACATCAGCTGAAAGACAAATTAATTATCTTCATGGTGACGTCATTAATTTTTTAATCGGTTATATAGTTCATAAGATATTAATATTTAAAAAATCTAAAAACTGAACTTTAACCTTCTAGAACGTCTTCATTTTTCACTTGCGCCAAATAAGGGCATGGTTGAAATGAGCATAAAAAGTGCTATTGATCTGCATTTTTCGTTTTTGCATAGCTGAACGGTCGGTATTCTAGATTTCTTCCAGGAAATGACGAATAACTGAAATCAAAAATGCATATTTTTATGTATTGTTTAGTATTTCCATTAAAACAACAAATATATTGCAAATTCACATAGAATTAATAATACACATTTTACTTCTAATTGTATACTTTGCGTACTTTTTGTAGTACCTTTCTACTACCGTTTTCGCAAAAGGCGATCACATTCTTCCTCTTTCTCCTACTTCCAAAATACAAATCTAGATAAAGGAATGTCAAATTTTAGCTGTCACAAATTACATAACCTTGTATTATTGAATCATGGTATATAAATAAGAACATATGTATTTTTTTAATAACGGGTGGAGGGCGTTTTTGCATACTCGACTCAATTTAATTTTTTGGACGATGTCGTCATTGTACTGTACATTCCTTCTCGTTCTTTAACACGGTAGCATGGCCTGTTTAACGTATGTATCTTTGTACATTGGGGGAAAAGAATAGTAACATCAAACAAAAACCTATTTGATCTAACTAAAAACGTCAATAGAATACTGTATAGTGGAAAATATTATATTGAAATAAGTACATATTAAAATTAAGCAGTTTGCACTTCTTCTTTCATAATTAAGATAAAAACAAAAACAAGAAAACAAATATTTAATTTGGATGTGGCCTGCAATGGAATTCGAACCCTGACCCCCTGGAAATCAACAAACTGTGGCAAGCATCGTTGAGCACTCAACTATAGCCCGGCACTTCATTTTAATACGGCGTATTTGAATTGAATATTTCTATTATTCGTACACTACTTTTAAACAGTTTTCATTCGATTTTACTATTTTTCCCCCTCTNCATTAATTTTTTAATCGGTTATATAGTTCATAAGATATTAATATTTAAAAAATCTAAAAACTGAACTTTAACCTTCTAGAACGTCTTCATTTTTCACTTGCGCCAAATAAGGGCATGGTTGAAATGAGCATAAAAAGTGCTATTGATCTGCATTTTTCGTTTTTGCATAGCTGAACGGTCGGTATTCTAGATTTCTTCCAGGAAATGACGAATAACTGAAATCAAAAATGCATATTTTTATGTATTGTTTAGTATTTCCATTAAAACAACAAATATATTGCAAATTCACATAGAATTAATAATACACATTTTACTTCTAATTGTATACTTTGCGTACTTTTTGTAGTACCTTTCTACTACCGTTTTCGCAAAAGGCGATCACATTCTTCCTCTTTCTCCTACTTCCAAAATACAATTCTAGATAAAGGAATGTCAAATTTTAGCTGTCACAAATTACATAACCTTGTATTATTGAATCATGGTATATAAATAAGAACATATGTATTTTTTTAATAACGGGTGGAGGGCGTTTTTGCATACTCGACTCAATTTAATTTTTTGGACGATGTCGTCATTGTACTGTACATTCCTTCTCGTTCTTTAACACGGTAGCATGGCCTGTTTAACGTATGTATCTTTGTACATTGGGGGAAAAGAATAGTAACATCAAACAAAAACCTATTTGATCTAACTAAAAACGTCAATAGAATACTGTATAGTGGAAAATATTATATTCAAATAAGTACATATTAAAATTAAGCAGTTTGCACTTCTTCTTTCATAATTAAGATAAAAACAAAAACAAGAAAACAAATATTTAATTTGGATGTGGCCTGCAATGGAATTCGAACCCTGACCCCCTGGAAATCAACAAACTGTGGCAAGCATCGTTGCGCACTCAACTATAGCCCGGCACTTCATTTTAATAGGGCGTATTTGAATTGAATATTTCTATTATTCGTACACTACTTTTAAACAGTTTTCATTCGATTTTACTATTTTTCCCCCTCAGTTTATACTCAAATACGTGCGTGGTAAATTTTGGTATGAAAGTATTATCTTTAAATACGAACACTTTTAAACGATAATCAAATAAAAGATATTCGTTTTTACTATGCGTTATTTCCCTCAGTGTACATACTTAAGTATGTTAACATTTCTCATTGATTGATTTCGGTTAATTTTAAAACTTTTATAATTAGTAACACAGTGATACAAAATGGTGGTTCATGTCTACATATTTAATGCAACCTAAAGTAAATGAAAGTTTACCCTTCCAATAACAAACTCTCAAAGGATTTTTAGCCTATACTTAAAGTTTTGTATTTTTTTAAATACCCTCTATACAGGAAAAAGTTAGTAAAACTCAATCAATTATCAATTACGTTTTCCTATAATTCTTTTGGAAAGTTATGATATCTTATTATTTTGGAGTCGAGGAATTTATTTATGATGTTTACTTTTAGCTAAAACTTAGCTACCGCCGTCGTACAATTTTTTAGATTTTTTTTTATGGTTTTTCACAACATAATTTTATTTCACTGTTTTAAGGCTGGACGGTGAAAAAAGTTCATTTCATTGTTTTTGTTAGAGAAAATAGCATTATCAGGGAGAAATTTTGTATATCTTATATTTTTTATATCTTAAATCTTATTATGTGTTTGTGTATATGTATATACATACATATATATTTTATATATTCTTAAAGGGTTAAAAGCTAAATAAAAAACCTCTCTTGTATTGAAAAATATTATTTTGGTTAATAAAAATTTAATTTTCCCCAAAGAAACATTATTTTTTCTCCAAAAAAATAAGCAACCAACTACAAATACTTTAAAGGATCTTAGTATATCCTAAAAATCCTTTCTATGTGGGGGTGTATATTCTCATTTACTCTTGCTTTCATCAAATACGTAGAATCTTGTCGCACTGTGTAATTACACCAAAGCTATGTTTTTGCATACATATTGAGTATATATTATTAAAGCAGGGATAAAATTTAAATTTTTATACTATGAACATTTACTTTGACAATGTCTTAAATTTTTATGATAAACAATATTAAATAATGTATTTGTTCTTATTCATATTTGTATTTAAAGACTAGAAAACTCATATCTGTTGTTAAACTCCAAATGGCTGCCTGTAGATTGCGGTGGTAAGTCGTCGTATGTAAAAGCAAGAAGAGCTCCATTGGTATCATAAAACGTATAGTTAGAAGAATTAAGAGTATCCGTTTGAGATAGTTGATTAGAATTAGCGCTTGAAAGTGCGAATATATTTGCACTACTAGTATCTAACACCGCACTGTTGGCACTAATATTATGTCCTATTTGTGGTGAATGGGGTGATGTCAGAATACTACAATCGCTGTCGACACTAGCACAGGGGATTGATATTGCATACATATCATCACCGGCTATAAATCCCGTGTTCCCAACATTTCCACAAATGCGGTTACTATTATGAATTTCAATATTCATTGTCACGGTTTGTTGTTGTATCGCAGAATCTTGATTTTCGGATATACACTCATCTGTGCAATATAATGACTGATTTATAATGTCACAATTGGTATCATCAGTTGAGGAGTTAATAATACTTGAGTGATTATGGCTATCCCGAGAAGATATTAGTGAATCAAAAACAGGTAATTTAGCTGTTTCGTATGGATACTGTATGTGATGCAAATGGTGACTGGCAAGATGTAAATTAGCATCATTTACAATGCTGTTTTCCTCTTCTATTTTAGCTTTTTCAAAATATGAGATCTGAGAAACATTGTTGACATTTGATTGTTCAGGGGTCTGTGTATTGTCATGAGAAAAATCATTTTTGGTATTTTGAAACTCAAATGGAGTTTCAAAAAAGTTGTCAGGATTTATTATTTTTAACACATCTTCAATTTGATATTGAGAGTTATTTTTGAGTTCATGATAGTCGGACGGTTCAATGGGATTTAAGTTAGTTAAATTATCTACAATCCCTGAGTTGATATCACAGATAATTGGATCACTGCAAAAGCTCCTATAATTTGATGTACCCGATAGATAATGGGCACGTTCTCCTACCATGCATATTTTCGCAGAGTCGTAAGAAGTGGTCGTATTTCTTGTTCCATTATGCTTCTTTGTATTGCTAGAGCTTTTCTTCCAGCACCGATTTCGGCGATTAATTCCATCTTGATTGTTCGGTATTAGACTTTGTTTACATTTTCGTTCCATGGAAGATAGCATTCTTTTCTTTCTGATATCATGATTTTGCCCTTTGCGCTCTTCTTTTTCACTATGTCTAGAGGAGGGTTGTCGCGACTGCTTTTTCTGGGGCCTATATTTATAGTCGGGATATTCTATCATGTGTAGTTTACGTAAGTTTTCTGCTTCAATTATGTAAGGTTGTTTTTCTTCCTTGCCTAGAAGTTGCCAACGCCGGCCCAGTTCTTTCGATATTTCTGCATTGTGCAGATCAGGTGTCTTTTCACAAATCTTTCTTCTTTCCATTTGACTCCAAACCATAAATGCATTCATTGGTCTTTTTATATGGCCAGGATAATGTTTTTTAGTCTGTAATTAAAAAAAGTTTGTTTTAAGATTGCATTTGAAAAATTGTAGGTACTAACATTTGCTAATATAAAGGTAAATTTGTTTAAAATTTATTGGTTGGTTTTGACATTTAATTGCAAATATGTCGACTAAAATAAATAGAGCTTAATGAAGTTTCATCTATTTATGTACTTATATTAACACTTATATTAAGAGATTTCGAGGAAAATTCTCAGGACATTTGAGTCCCTTTGCTTAAAGTCCGTTGTGGAAGTTTGGAAGGCTACCCTGTTTTAGAAAGCACTATAAACAATTTATCGATTGTACAAGGAATCAATGAAAAGAAATAGAGAAACGAAAAACATATTGATTTATTTATGATTTTTCCACAATAAATTAGTTCTCCAATCAGAATACAGAGGGGGTTTTGAGGGTCTTATCCCCCTCCTTCCCCTCCCAAAAATATCCGAAACCTGTGAAAATTCAGTACATATGGATGAAGATGTCTATAGTGACTTAGATCTATTGCAAGGCCGATGTGAAAAAATACACTGTACAACAGAAAAAAATTCCCCGGGGTTTCTCAACGGTTTTTAAAACTTTTGGGTCCGCTGAATCCGAATCTGAAGTCAGAATTTTCGGGTCGCTCTAGGTTTTCTGTAGAGTGCGAGGTTTATCCAGAAACCGGNTATAACAATTATATTCAACAATTTTATTGAGCTTGAAAAATGTTATTGAAAATCAACAATAATTTACAAAAGGTAGAAGTTATAGCTGCTATTTCGGAGACCACCACATCTCTTCAGTGACCGCGGTTGAAGAAGTCTGATTAGTTGATGTGGTGATCTCCCAAATAGCAGCTATACCTTCTTAACTTTGTAAATTATTGTTGCTTTTCCACAACATTTTTCATAAAAAACAAGCTCAATAAAATTGTTGGATTCATTCTGAATGCTAATAACCTTGCCGTTAAAACAGAACCAAACACCCCTTGGAATTTTAACAAGATCAGGCCTAGGATCTTTAGGCCCGACCGACCTTACGCATTACGGTATGCATTTTGATTCTAATAATAGAAAGGGTATAGAAAGGTTAATAAAATACAGGAAAATATATTCATAATTATTAAAGTATTCAATATTGCTTTAAACTTAACTAGAAATTAACAATTTGCAAAACATCGGAAACCCTCGATATATTAATGTTTCTCTGGCAATGTATTTTAGCCTCGATGTTCTTTTCTCCGATGCATCGAAACATCGATGTATCGATGTTACAGCTCAAAATTTGCATCACTAGCTCTCGATGCCTTCGATGATATGAGCTCTTATTCAAACGGGGTCATTGATGTTCCTACTGTGCTCTTTTTAATTCGTGAGACTTCTTCTTGATATACCGATGACCCGTTGATGTGTCTAAGACATCTGTGTCGCTTAAACAATTCTGCGCTTCCTTGTATTCATACTTAAAGAATGGGGCTTTATTAGGTAATCTAAAAAGTAAATTTGTAGAGGGATATCTAAATATCTTGATTCCAGCGCCACCTATGTTTTGGGTACGTTTGGGACACACTTCTTATCAAAAAGTAATACCCATTAATCCAGGTCGTGCGATAAAGACGGATTCTCTAAATATATCGACTCCAGCGCCACCTGTCGTCCGGGGTAAACAGATAAAAATATAAAAAAGAAAGATTTTCAGTTTACCATAAATTAAAGGAGACATAGACTATATTTCTTATTTAGTTTAAGGCCTCCTTATGAAAAATACTTTAATTTTTTTCCGGTGTAGAAACATAAATACTATTCAGACATCCCACTCGTGAGCATTCGACATGTCAAAGCAAAGTCTCAGAGTATACTGAAGACTTTTAAATTAAAATTGAAGGTATGTGGGAATAAATAGGACTCCTTACATAAACACATCTTCTGCTTTGTGGCATCCAGTAAGAATTCTTGCTGCAATTATATTGGTCATTATTTTCTTTACTAAAAAGCTTGTTTTAGTATTAAGATTAGGTGGATTAAGGTACCTAAAGAAGAATAAAATGCGCGTTACTTTTTAAATTGATATTCTCTTAACGTAGACGGCATGCTTGGTGGGAGGTGCTACGACATCTTTCAAACTCGTATCCCTGTTTAGTTTACAACAGGTCATTTCGTTTAGGTGTATGTTTGTAATGGGTCCAAGGTTATGATTCTCTGAACGAACTACATCTATTGGAGGTACCACGCCCCTGGCAAACACTCACTCTCTTTCAGTTTACTATAAATGCCCCGAACTCTTGTACAAACTCATTTGTATACATTTACCATAGATCTTCTCATCAAATTTTAAAGTCATGTGAGTTAGGAGTCCGAAAATATAGCAAATGTGAGATTTCAGGGCAATGGAATATGTCGTGGCCCTTATACAAACTCACTAATGTTTACCTCGCTATAAGCGCCTACTTTAATTATGTCTTCACAATAATTTCGAAGTCATGTGACTTATCGTTCCTAAGTTATAGCTGATTAAAATTTTACACCTGTAAGATGTTCCACGCCTCCTTTAACAAACTTATTTATATATGTCGATACTTTAGTTTAAACATCTATCATAGATCTGTCCTCACATCAAATTTCTAAGTCATGTGACTTACGGTTCCGAAGCTATTGCTGATTAAAAGTTTCACGCCTATGGAATTTGCCATGCCCCTTGTACAAACTCACTCATATATACCTTACTGTAAGCGCCTACCATGGATATCTTTTCATTAGAAATTTCATTTCATTTGACGTATAATACCGAAGTTATGTGCCACGTCCCCTTTACAAAAGTATATCTTCTTTACAATAAGCAGCTATCATAGATATGTATGTCAACACACTAAGTTTCAAAACCAAATTTCAGGTTAAGATTCCTTGACCCCAAAAACCTTAAGTTCCACTTGTTTAATGATTTTAAAAAGAATAAACCACGTACTCTGCAGAAAACCTTGCGTGAGACCTGAAATTCGAGATATAAAACAGTTGTCCTTAAGAAATTTACATCCAAACTTAACGATTTACTCTTCGAGCTACTTTCGAACATATATATCGAGGGCCTCTATCTGGAATTTTCACAAAACCTACTTTGTGATGTTAGAATCCATCTGTGACCTGTTATCACTTATGCTAATTCTGACTTTGCAGTTTAATAGTAAATTTTTCTGTAGAGCATTATACAGGGTCAGCATTAATATCACCGATGACAGTTGAGTCTTAGGCGGATTTTTATCTCATTTTTGTGAAAAGTACAGATAGAGGGTATTGAATATAAGGCCTCGATATGTGACAAAAATCGAAAAGTGCACCAGGAAAATATTTTATGTCAGCATTTTGTTCAAACTGTTATATGTTGTTGCTATGGTTACTGGTTTTTATACGGGTTTAAACATGCAAATTTCAGCCCTTTTTCTTAGCACTCTACCGCATACGAAGCCAAATATGGTGTCTCTTCTTTGGCAATTTTTTCCAACCTAACCAGTGTTATAAAAATTTATCAAACTAATTAAATACATTGAGAAATTCACTACGAATAAAGGAACATAATTGGTTTGCCTATGATTAGATAGCATTTGATTACATCCTCACAAACTCACTCAACTGCAAAAAAGGCAAACGCAAAAGACAGACGCATGTTGTTCTTGTAAAATAAAACATATATTCTTAATTCACATATCCACTTCTGCGTCAATCAATAACGCTGTGAAACACGTCTAGGAATCGAGATATATCGATTTGAAGTTAGTAACTATCATATAGGGGAAATTGTCACCTTTGGTGGTCATAACTCGAGAACCACTAGTCCGATTTTGCTCAAACAAATTAAAAAAAATTAAAAATTACAATTCCTTTAATCTGTTCATATAAAGTTTTTCTATATAATCAACAGTTTTGCCGGTAAAAATAAATGTATGAAGAAAAAAAATATTTTTTGCCTAAACAATTAAATTTTTTTATTTTTTAAATTCATAAAATTTTATAAATAAATAAATAAATAATAAATAAAGCGAAACGCTGGGCCACGTATAATTGTTTTTGACCGATATAACATTTCCCGTTGGTTTCATCCCATCCCGATTTTGACTGTCGCATAGTGTAATTATTTTACCGCCGCCCAACACTTTTCTATTTTTTTCATACAATTTCCCATATATATGGGAAATAAATTAAAAAAAAAAAACTTGGAGTTGTTTTTTCTTTCGATTAAGGCTTATTAATACGTAAATAACTTGTTTTTACCAATTAAAATTTTTATATTCAGAGAGTTAAAGGACAAGATTTCTTAAAATACCAAAAATTTTACCAGTTCTTGTCATCGTTATTCTAGGTCAGAGGAGGGCATTTTTTGATTTTCCAAACACATGTAATTGGGCTTCGAAATGCTGCTTGCTGCGACGTCGACACATGTATACTATCAGTGTTGCCGCGCCGTCTCAAGAAAATGTATCCCTGACCAAGCCGAAAATGTATCCAAATGTATCCAATTTTCTTTTTTTACATATACATCTCATAATTTGTAAGAAAACCAAACATTTGAATGAAAAAGACATAATTTAACCCATCCTGAGGACTTGGAATACATGTGCATAAAATCAAACATTTGTAATTTCAATTTGTAAAGTACAGTTTTTGTGCATAATTATTTTGCAAAGTAAATATAATAAATAGCAAGTACACTCTAAAAAGAGCATGTAAAACTTCTACTGAAAAGTATCTATTTTTCAACAAGAATCTGTATATATATACGTATAGGTTGTTCAGTATTTGATTTTGAACTTGAGATCTTTAAGAAATACACATAAATACACATATACAGAACGTTTAAAATTGCAAAGATTTTCAAACTACAAATACATTTCCTACTAATAGTAAACATTACTTTATTTTAAACATTTTATGTGTAATTTTGCTCTTCCGACAAATTCGTTACGTAAAAGTAAACAGACAATGATTAATTTTATTACACCGCATGCAAATTTGCACACATTAAAAGAG